TCCTCTGATCATCTGAGAGAAATTTTAATGCAGATTTGTGAACATATTTGCGGTAAATTACCAGTGAGGAGACTGGACATCCACTGCTGACACCTATTGTTCTGTTGTACTCGACAATCTCAGCATCTGCTTTCAGGTTATCCACGCATCCCCTGAGCGGTGCAGCTGTGATGTTGTGTCTGAGATTCAAAGGCAGACAGACCCGTAGAAAAGGTCAGTTTTATTTAGCTGATACTGTTTTCTTCTAGACTACTCAACACACACATTGGCACTGGCATTTATACGTCATATAGTCATGGTCATGAGTCTTTCAGTGGGGAATTATTTGTTTCCCTCCCAGAGGAAGCTGAGTTTGACATGATTTTAAAAGCATCGTGTGTTGCATTACCTCTCTCTGAGCTCTGCTGGAAGACCCCCAATGTAATAACTAATGTAGTCTGTTTGAATGTGATCTGTGGAGACCGTTTTTGGTCCATACTGGACAATGAATTTGTCTGCAATTGCAATTGCAAACTGTGTGTCCTGAAACAGGAAGCATATGCTTAGAATGGCATGAATTTAACAAAAAGACTGTCAAGTTTTTTAAAGTAATTAATTGTATTGTTGTTCTTACAAACAGAGACACTCTTTCAGCACTCCGAAGTCTAATCTCTCTGTCAGTTTGTTGACCTTGTAGCACAAGGAAGCCTCTCTCCACAAACACACAGAAAAAGGACTCCTAAAACAGAAGAAACACACCCATTTTAATTCTTTTTGTTTGTTTGTTTGTTTGTTAAACATGCAGTTATACAAGTGCTTCAAGCATCTATTGAAAAATTAAAATCCTACATTGTTTCCAATGTAGAATAACAAGGCATTTGTTTCTCGACTGTTTGTGTGAAATCTGAACAGTCGCCTCTTTTTCCAGTCAGGATTCTTTATGAACGCCATGCGGTAACCTCTTCCTTCATAATAATCAGACACCTCTTCCTGTGCAATCCTAAACACATAATTTAATCATTATTTGACCTTTTCTAGTCAACACAATGTCCGACCTTTATTTTTAATTTTTGGTTTTATGCTTACTTCACAGTGAGCTGTTTTGCATCCATATTGACAGCATGTTTGAAGTTAAAAAGGCAGACAGGATTGTCATTCAGGTAGGAGAGTTTTATGGCTCCTCTGTACTTGGGGTAACGCAGCTCCACTGGAGGCTATGAGAACAAAAAAGGACTGAAAATTGGACTGAAAAAGTGAACATGTCATTTACTAATGCAAATGATTTTGTTGAACTCCTGTTCTCTAGGGCTCAGAAGCTCTAAGCTATTTTTCATTAACCCATTCTCACAAAAGGATGATGATAGACTGTGATAGGGACTTTGTATTTCAACTTCTTCACAAAAAGTACCTTTCTCACTAAATTGTTCAATTTCAGTTTCTGAATAAGACTATTGTGTGTCATTTATGCAGTCTATGGAACCCTATTTCCACTAATATATATATATATCTACAAGTCAACTGAAGCTGTGTGTGCTGGAAACTAGTTTTTATATGTTAGCTTTTCCTTTATTTAAAACCAATTATCTTTGGCTAAACAAATGAAAGACACAGTTTAGGCTTATGTCTAAACTTTCTGTGTGCTTGCTTGTGTGTTATACAAAAGTTATCATTGCTATTGCAACGTTTACAATTTTACACAAGCTTATCAAATGAATTTGAATTGGCTTTGAGTTGTCTTTCTACTCTCTACCCTTTTAAACACTATAAATTTGCAGGCAGGATGAAATGAAAGCAGAGACTTATTACAGTGAAGTAATCGGGATAGCCCCCCACGTAGAAAACGACACTGCCTGGATCCAAGTCGAAGACGCCTGTCATTGTGTTTGGGAGGTTACGTTTAGGAGGGAGACTGACACGCTCCTTTGACGTGAAGTTCTTTGTGACGTTCACTTCAGCGTCCTGGTAAACCCTGCAGGAATTGTTGGCACGAAGATAAGAAACATGTTGGTGACATCATGTAAACTTTCAGCTAGCAAATCCATGTTCGTTTTGAAATACACTTCTACCATATGTACTCAGTACCTGTGGAAGATAACTCTGTCAAGGGCTGAGGAGTTCACGCTTCCGAGTGTTATTTGGCTGGTTTCTATCTCATGAACCACTCCACCCAACTTATAGACACAAACCAACACAGTGTTTCTGATAGCCATTCCAATGTAGTCTCCAGAAGCCTAGAAATGTAATAAAAGAAACGTAAGGTATATTAAAGACAAAAAAGAAAGACACAAACTACATCATGCTTCCTGTGTAGGCCGGTATGCACGCTCACATTCTTGCTACCCAGGTAGAAAACGAACAGGTTGGCATCTCTGTGTTCATCCTGGTGTCGCTTTCGTCTCACATCAGACTTAGCCGGGGTTTTGTGATGGCGATTGAGGAGAAGATCGACAGCTGTAAACGCTTTAATGTCCTCAAGGTCTCTTGGAGGGTGAAGCTCAATGTGGCTCTTTCCATTGAAAGCGGTGCCAAGAGAGAGCTGTGATAGAGAGAGACGGTAGAAATTGTCTGTGTCATAAAAACAGATGATTTATGTGTTTTTAAAAAATAAACTATTTGTATTCATACATTTATTATTTTATTTTTACAAATTAGGGGTAATGGAAATAGGTTTGCACTACTTTGAGTTCTATTTTTGGTCCACCAACTCAAGCAGAAGTTCTGGGTTTTTTTGGTATTTCCAATGTGAATGTTTGCATCAGAGTCACTAAATGAAGCAGCTTCCCACATGTAAATAATTGTAATGTCACCATCCAAGTAGTAATTCTAGCTGGTAAAGTCTGTTTATTTCTGAAAGGTCAGACTCAGCAAGAAAAAAAAATTTAACCAAGTATATTAGCTTTTTGACTCAGCACCAGCATTTAAGGCCACATTGTGTTCAGCAGATTATCTAAAACTTCCTGAGAGCAGTCGCATGTAGCTGACCCTGTAACCTGGTTGATCCTCCAGACAACAGATGTCAGTCTGGGCTGTGCAAAAATTTAGTTTCCCATAGCTGGCAGCCTTGTTACTCCTAATCAGAAGGGGAAAATACTTTCAGCTTTGTCTATGAATCAAGCCAAAATACAATCCAGCTATCATGCCCTGTCCTCCTTTCACCAAAAACAAGGAAAATACTGAAGATAATCTCTGCACACTCCAAGGCCAAATGAATTGTCTTTGGATAGTGCTTACATAGCACTTAATATATAATGTGTTAATTTGAAACAGCCTTAAGCAATATATTAGTACTTTTGAGAGTTTGTAATGACTCTTCTATATTGTCAATGCTGATCACTCATCTGTTCTTATATTACTTGATCTTACTGCTGCATTTGATACAGTGAATCATGAAATATTAATTTCCTATCTTCAGCAGTGTAGTGTATCAATGGCACTGCTCCAAACGGATTAAAGTCATATCTGATTAACGGTTCTTTTTCCATTAGGATTTGTTCTAAAGCGTCCACTTTGACCCATGGAGTACCACAGGGGTCGATTAAACCCCCTATTCTGTCTCAGGCGTCATACCTTAATGTCATGTAAAGAAACCTGGTGTAAATTATGATTCCTCTCTGAAATTAAAGACCGATTAAATCTGTCACTATAGCTAGTTTCTTTTAATAATGAAAGTCAAACCTCTTGTTTAGTTTATTAACCTTTAATAACCTTTCATCATATTCAGGCTGGATCACTGCAGTTCTTTATATACCAGATTAAGTAAGACATTATTACAGTTGCATTTAGCCTAAAATGCTGCTGCTAGACTCCTAATTGGTGGATGAAACATGATCAAATTTGACCAATCTTAGCCTTCTTTTACTGGCTGCCTCTGGAGTTTTGTCATTTATAAATGCCTGCATGGGCTTTCCCCAACATATCTCTCTGAGATGATACAGCTTTATACTTCTTGCTGGATACATAGGTGACTTGTTAGTTTTGCCAAGTAGCTAATCCAAAACTCTAGAACAGCCTCATCCTTCAGATCAGGTCGTGCGCCTCACTAACAGTTTTCATATCTTGACTAAAACCTCACTTCTTCTCTTCAGCCTTTTTAGTTCTGACTTTCAACTTTGTCTTTCTGTAAACAGGATAACATATCTTTGATTATTTCTAATTATGTTTTTAAGTTTGCTTTGAAATACTTGCTTTAGTCTTATTGCTTTTGTAATTTTTATAATTATGTTTTTCCAATTGTTGTATCGATTGTTGTGCAGCACTTTTGTCAGTGTCTGTTGTGCTTTAATGTGTGAAATAAATGATCGTCCCTTGACTTGAAAAGTAAACTGCAAACATAATAAAATATCTGTCTCGGTAATAACAGGTAACACTTTACATTAACAATCATTAAAAAATGGTAAGTATCTTGTAATTAGATCAAAAGTTTGTATTATTGTTTTTGCTCGTATTGTTAATACTCCTGTTTGAGTTACTTCCTGTTTTATTGAATAATATTTTCTTTGTGATCGTTAATAACATCCTGCTTCCCTCTATTTTCTGTGCCACTTTTATTCAACTAGTTAATCACTCGCTCCAGCATATGTACCACCTGTTCTTCATTTTTCTGTTGCCACATGGTCTTTTAATCTCTTGGAGTCAAGCATTTAATTAAATTTTTTGTGACGTGATTTTATTTATTTATTTTTTGTATTCATTTTTATTATTTTAAAGGTTTTTTTTTATTTTTTGTTCAAGTGTTGGATGTTGAATTTTTTTAGTTTGTTTTTTTTATTCACTTTTGTGTATTTGTTTGGCCTTTATTATTTGGCCTTAGTTATTTGATTTTCTTATATTGCATTTATTAATGAAAGCAATGCAATACTGTGAATTTTTACATTTTGGCAGTGCTAATTTCTCAACTTATAAAGGATAAATAAAGGAAATAAAGGAATCTTTAATCATATCTTTTGCATCATATCAGTCTGTTTTCTTTCAGTTTTTGCCTAACCCTGCACCTGAGTGTGCATCACCTCTTCCCTGATATTAAATATCTGGATTTTGGACCTCTCTCCTGAAAAAAATGTCACTTATTGCATCTGCTGATAGTTATATTTATGCTAATAAGGTTACTTTGGAAGTTGTAGATTTTAATAGAATCATCATAAAAAAATAACAAAGCATTTACTGAAAAGTAATTTAATAATTGTGAATTGCACTCACCTAGGTAATTATATATGCATTACAAAGCATTTAGAAACAGCTTAAGTTTCTAATGATACTTAAGCTGTAAGTAGCATTAAGCAATAAAGATATTCAGGGATTAAAAAAATATTATTATTGTGATATTTTTTTTCAGACATAAACAAATTTCCCAAATGTTTGTTTATGCATGGGTCTTCATAATTAATATTAATAGCTAATAACAGCTGCTAATATCAGACCACCAATACATCTCTAATTTTAAAAAGTGACATAATCAACTTTATATTAGCAATCCAAACAATATTTACAGAGCAGTTTATAAAGTCAATATTAACCATTAAATTATAAAAAAAAATATCTGCTCTAGGTCAACAAAGAATTTGGTACACTTCTTAAAATGTCATGTGTACAACTTTCTCTATCATCAGTTGCAATTGTTTCTTATCACCTATTATACAGCATATAGTTTAGAATTAATTTCTATTAAATAAACTTCTGAAAAGGTGAGTAAGAAAAAGTAGGAAATTATTATATAGCGACCTAACAAATATTTTTATTTATTAAAATATCATTTTTCATTGTTAAGTCTAAAGTCACTATTTAAGTTCACATAAATCTTATTTACCTAGTTTGTATTTAATAAAAGAGAGCTAGGATAACCAGTAATAAGAATGAAACAGCAGCACAAGGAAACTGGCAGCTGCCCTCATGATGTTCTACAGAATAATCATTCTTACACATGTTAAATGCCAGAATCTTTCCCATCACTAGTTTCAATGACCGGGACATAAACTCTCAACTTTGTCTCACACTTTTTCACACTAAACGCAGCTGCTACACACAGCATTGCTATCAGAATGTTGAGTCTAAACTAAAACAGTGCTTTGACTTAGAAAAAGAGAAAAGAAATACCTGCAAAGAACCATGAGGAAAACTGCAGACACAGCCGACAGCTTCATAAGGTTCAGTCTGCAAGCTACACATTTCATATGCACACTGTACTGTCATACGCTGTGAGGCTGTTCCAGCTTTAAATCAAATCTGACAAGTCAATTAAGAAATTAATTGGAAAGATGAAATTAAAAAGAAAATGTTACCCTATTAACAAAGTTTCTTGTCTCCTCTATTATGTCCTTGATTCTCTGGATGCTTTCTGTCATGTTTGGGTGAGGTGACATCCTCCTACCAAGAGCCTTGACTTCTGCGAGCTTGTCACTCATCACAGGGAGTGCTTTGTTGAAGCTTTTTACTTAAGCAGATAAAATAACAACACATAAAACCTTTAAATGACTGTATTTTAACTGCAAGAATATGTTTAAGGAATTAAAGAGGTAAGTCGGGAGAATGTGGTGTGAAATGTAAATGTGAGTTGCACACCATTCAACACTTACCAGCCTGGTCTGCATCTGTCAACATGTCATTTATATTCACACTGATATTGGTTAAAGTTATTCTTCCTACTTCCTCGCTGATATTTCTCAGTCTCTCTTTCACACTGCTGACTGTAGCGTTAGCATCAGAAGCAGCAGTTTTCACAGACACTATCAGTGCCGCTGTGTCATCTGAAATACAAAAGAAAAACTATCATATGCAGATACAATAACTAATTTGACGTTTATTTTCGGATCTGCATCAATTCCAAGTGCTCTACAAACCTCTTTTGATCTTTTTGAGTTTGTCACTGATGGATGAGGCGTCGATTCTCAGTGATCTTCTTTTTTTCTTTTGTTTATTCACACGATTCCTGTGAGCATTTACTGTACGTGACACCGCTGTTCAAAAGAAATTAGAACACCTTTTCATTTTGCACATTCAAACTCAATATATTTGTCTTGATATTTGTTTTGTTTTTACAGACTTTTAAGGTGACTTTGAGTGTCTCTGGTTTCCCTCCATAGATGACTTGAGTTATCTTTCAGCTGTTCAGACCTGCTGATCAGACCTCGCTTCTTCACATCCTAATTTATCATTCAAATATTGCATTAATATTTTCTATAAACACGTAGATTTTTTTAATAACTCTTACTAACAGCACTGAAGTTACCTTTAAGGTTTGATCAGCAGCCCTTTTGGACTCCTTTGCTGCCTTCTCAACCATTTCTACTGCCTTAATGATGCTGTCATAGGCCCCTATACCCAGGAGGCTGACCAGTGAAGTGCTGTTAGTAGCGGTATGAAGCGCTCTGTAACAAAATCCAAGATGGATCTATTATGTTAAACAAGAAACGGGGCCCAATCTAATCTAAATCTGCCTTGCTTCTTTATTTGTTCTTGGGATTCACACTCACTGTTGTAATTCTGTCACCACTCTTTTGAGCTCCTTTGCATGCTCCTCTGCCTGGGCTATAGCTTCCACCTCTGCTATTATTAAACTGTTGTTTAACTGCTGAAAGTGTTCCAGCTGGGCACCATCCAACTGAGCTGCTCGCTTCTCAAATTCCTGCAATTTAAACAGTAAACTTTAATGCAAAGTCCAATACTTTTGAGAAGTTATAAAAAGCTGCTTCTTACTTTTTTAACTTCCTTAAGTATCGACAAGATGTCAGTAATGTTCTTTAGCAGATCTTTAGTCATTTCAGTCACAGGATGGAGAGTGTTTTGTTCTTTATCCAGCTGAGCTTTAAGATGCTGGAAAAAGAAGAAAGATAAAACAGTTTGTCATTAGAAATGTATGACATGGCCAATGAGGGCTTTATTTCCCATTACCTGCAGATGCTGTAGGGCAGTACGACTCTTGAGGTTAAGACCCCTTGCTCTGTCAACTCTGTCCTCTGCATCCAACAGCAGCTCGCCCAACTCTCTCACAGCAGAATC